TGGAGGATAATGATTCCCTAGCTGGAGGATAATGATTCCCTAAGGATCCTCAGGGGTGGCTGGGGTAATGGAGGGGTGGCTCTGAGCTCTCGTGGTCCTGCACAGATGTACATTCCCAGGTTTAGAGAAGACCGTCGCGGTCCTGCCTCCGAAGAGGATCTGCAAGGTCCATCAGTGCTGTATTCCTTGCTCTTCTTTTGGTTTCCACTTCTTATTGCAGTCCATGTAGGGCTGAGGTTTCCTCCAGCTGCTGCTAGCTGTCAGCATTTCGGGAGACGTGGGAGAGCCTGCTTATCTGTAATCCCCTCTGCAGCCCGCGCTCCCCGCCGCGGCGCCGGCCAGGACATACCCTTTCATGGAGCTGCTACACGGCAGTGTTTTGCTTCCCATTGATAAGCCAGGAACACGCCTGACAGCCGACTTATACACGAGCAAACATGTCTCGTCTTTGGGGCGATCGATGTCTCCAGCTGTACTTTGCAATCCGCCAGCCCACTGTGAGCCAAGGACCATTGCCCACGTGGACTCTAGTGGCTCTGAAAATATCCCTTAACCAAAGTGTTACCTTTGCCTAAACAGGCCTATTTACAGCTGGATTTGAGATTTTTAAAAAAAGACATTGAAACCGTTTCAGCATTTGCAGCATGCAGCATACAGTTATTTGCAGAAGCAAGTGGGTTCCATGGCACCAGTCCAGTCCCAGACTCCAGTGGCTTCCTCTAACCGTTGATAAGGCGCCTCCTTGCCCCAAGATGTGAGCACCCCCAGCCTTTTCATGTCCCCCGCAGGCCGGTGAAGATACTTCCTCCAGGATCTGCTCCTTTTCCTGGGTCTCTGCTTCTGGGAGTCTGGAAATACTCAGGTTTCTGCCCTGCTCGTTATTACACCTGATCCTTTCTTACTTCAGCTGTTCCCAAAGGAGACAGAGTGACTGTGCTTTGCATCGCTCCCGTACAAGCACTGTCACCCCATGTGATCTCACACTGTGGGTATCCAGGGCCCCTTTTCTCCCTTTCCCAGTTTGTCGTGCCCTCCTGCATCAGGCCAGCTCACGGGCACCCACTCTGCATGTGCTGGGGAACACAGACCAGTTCCCATGCAGCATCCTGGGGTGATGTGACTGCACATACTCTCACAGGCTTTGAGAGAGGTATAGGGATCCCTTCAAAAAGCAAAATAAACAAACAAACAAAAAATTCTTGGCTCATTTGGCAGAGAGCAACTGTGCCTTTTGGCCTGTATGCAGAATGAATTGTGCAGGTCACCAGCGCAGCTGGGACACAAGAGAAATCTGTCCAGTGTCACTTAACTTTCTGCATGGGAGAATGTGAACATGCAGGTGAAAGGAACAAGATCAGCTGCTGTCCTGCCATAGCCAGAGTTGTTTTTTCCCATGGTGGAGCTATCCCTAAATTATCCCCAACCAGTCCAAGACTGCAGACACGGCCCTTCTTGCAGCAGGAAGTGACGCACAGAGCCATAGGCAACGAGTGGCTGAATTAATCATCCTCCTTCAAACAGTCCGAGGGGACAAGCGGCCACAGAAACGAGACCGGGGCTCCCCTGGGAGCTCAGTTCCTGCCATGGTGTTAGTGTGCCCAAAGGCAGCCTGGCACGGGGGCACAAAGCGGTCCCGGGCGCTCTCGCCAGCCGCACAGAGCATCGGCTCCCACATCGGCTCCGGTTTTCTGCATTTGCTCTGCACTCACCTCCTCGCAAAGCGGCACCACGAGCTTTTGTGTCACCCGCAACAGGCTGTTGGGTAACATTACTACTCGGTGGTGCTCAGGGACAGAAAGCTGGGTTAAAAAGAGGCAGTACAAAGTTGTGAGGTCTCAGAGGGCAAAATAACGAACTGAGAAACAATTTTTCTCGATTTGCCCCTTCCTCCATGCTGGAGGAGCAGCACTCGCGGGCAAGAACCTGTGGTTCAGACCCTGCCCACAGGACTCCTGGAAAGCCAAGGTCCCATTCTCACAGAAACCTTCCCACTTTACTTTCGGATAGCAACATGTGGCCGGGCTGCAATAGGTCCCCTTTGTTTTAGAAAACAAGAAATATTCAGATCGACCCAAACCCCCTAACGAACAACGCCTTTATGTAGATTACAGTGCATTCCCAAGCTTCTTAAAATAGAGTTTTTAAAAGAGATCAAGAAGGAAATGGCAGGGAAGAACACGCCAGCTTATCTATGTGCATGCTCTGGGAAAAGTGAGCAAGCTGCAGCATCTGCACCCAGGCTCCCCTCAAGGCCCAGTTCACTCCAACAGCACTAATTACTTAATTATTGGTAAATCTGCTCTAAATGAGGGCAGAATTCAGCTATACATACTAATTTCAGCAGCCAAGAGGAATAGGCAGTGCTGGAGCAGCTTGATGACAGCAGGCGAGTGGAGAGTTAGCCCCAGAGCTGGACACACCGTCTCTTATGAGCCCTGCTTGCCTCAGGTAACCAAAATACTACAAATCCAAATTAAAAAAAAAAATCCTAGCCAGACACAAAACTCCATGTGAGATATTAAGAGCAGCTCCAGCCTAATGTCTCTGTGTTGGCTCATCAGAGCCCCTCCACCAGATGGTAACTCGAATGGGTGCCAGGAATTTCAATCGCTCCTCAGGAAGTTCATCTAAATCATCAGTAAACCCTTTCTACTTAAAACGGAGCCAACCCTGTTGCCCAAATGTGACCCAGATAATGTTTCTGACATGTTTACCTATTTGGATGATAGCCTTAAATTTCACTTCCATCTACCCACAAGGGTCCAGGAGCCCTGCAGGGCCTGTAAAGTTTACTCAAAAACTAAACATCACAGCATAATATGATAACAATAATAATGTTAAAAAAAATCTCTATGCAGTACCATTACTTGGGCTGAGGCAGTCAAGCTAGAGCAATATCTGCAACCAACTTACAGCTCAATTTCTTTCACCACCAATTTTATGGGTCTCACCTGGGATGGGTCTTCCTACAACTGAGGGATAGTAGTGGGCAGAAACTGCACTTAAATAAGGCAGGTGATAGGACACAACTGTTGGCAGCTTCTGAGAAACAGGCACACCAGAAATGATGGCAGTAGCATTAGCTGTCAGTTGTCTCTTGGCTCCCAGCCCTTCATGGTGGGTCCCAGTAATTAGCCAGCAGCTGATGAATATTTAGTGGGATCAGCAGAGCTATTTCAGGTGAACTGGCCCTGACTTTTCCTGGCCAGTGAGGGGTGTACTGAGTGAAGCAGGTGCTTTAGGGGCTCAGAGGGACAGTGGTATCAACAGCACCCAACAGGGTGTCTGGCCAGCCCTTAGCACCATAGTGCCTTAGTGATGACTTAATGACACTGACAAGACCAGCTCAAAACACACAAAGAATTTTCTGTGGTTTTCTAACTTTTCAAAGACACAGTGAAGGCCTGTGTTGATAATCCCTCGCTGTTCTCCTCACAGCGTTGGGCCAAGGCTTAAGGAACTCCAGGACCTCAGGACCAGAGGGCTTTGTTTGCTCTTGAAAACTTTACTGTCTGTTTTGTAGAACTATATGAGACTTTGTCTGTCCAGTAATTTTTATATTTAACAGAAGTCTCCAAGTGAAAGAGAAATAGTATCTCAGTGCAGCACACCAGCAGTCCAGGAAGACATTTAAAAATGCACAACAAAATAAACTTTATTACCTTAATTGTTCCATGCAGAGAGTAAACTAAGCATTTGTTTATGAGGCCCTGGAGCATCAAACCTCCCATGTCTCCATCACACTTCTCTAGCACGTTGCATTCAAGCCCCAGTGCAAACTGCCTGCATGGAAGTGGTGGAAAACCCTGCTGGAATGGCTGTGCCTTTGGGAAGGGCTTCACTTTGGGCCCTGCAGAACATTTTTGGGCTGATTTTCCACTGGTGTGAAGCCAGCAGGGATTTTGTAGCATGGTATGGCCTAGCTGTTTGCATGATGCTTAATACATGCAAGGGAAATTAATACCAACACCAGTACTGATACCAAACACACCACGCAGGCGGGGAGGAGAACCGTGTCCAGCTCGGCATGTCCGTAGGCCTTGACGATAGCGAGGTTAGGGCTGGGCTGGACACAGCTCTCGTGAGGACATGTCTGAAAGCAGAGGCACCTCCTGAGGGCCCAGCGCACCAGCCCACTTCACAGCTGGCCCGCGGCCGGGCTGCCACGGCTGCCTCTATCTCTTGCTCTCTTAAAGGGTTTTATTCCACCCTACAAATTTTCCTCAGGGCACTTAGTAAAATAGGGACAGCCCCCACAGAAAGAGTGAGATGTGGTGATTAAATTATTTACTGTGGATCATCCCCACGGTGAGAGAGAGGGCGTTTCGTGGGGATGACCCGTAACTCCTGGTGCCCTTTTCCTGCTCCTGACCTGGAGGTGGTACATGGAGATGCTGCTTTGGGGGATGCAAAGCACCTCTAGGCAAGGACCTTTTTGCAAAGAACCTCTGTGAAGAAACCTATAGGCAGGGATGTGTGTGCAGAAGAGCTCTATGCAGGACCCCCCGGGTGGAGGGGGACGTCTGTGCAGGACCCCCCCGGGCGCTCATCCCACCTCGGTGTCGCCGCTCATATACAACAAGGGACCATAGTGGGGCATGAAAGGGTTAATGGCTGCATGCTCAGTGCTCAGGCCAAGACTGTTAGCGACTCCCTATTGCTATTTTGAAAGAAAAAGGCTGCCTGGAAAGGAAAAAAAAAAAAGAAAGGAGGTTTACTTTACAGCCGGCCTTAGTTCATCTGCACAGTTTCTAGAAGGGAAAATAAAAGGCAGGGTAGGCAGGCTCAGATCATTCCCGTTCGCTAATGGCAGGGAAATGGTTGTGTTTTTGCAGGGAAAAGCAGGCGTGAGGCCGGGGGGTGTGTGCGACACGCGGGCGGCTCGCCGCGCCGCGCAGGGCCGAGCAGGGAAGCCCAGAAATAAAAACCTGACTCAGAGGCCGTCGGGCGGATGAGTCAGGGGAGCTGTTGTTGTTTTCAAGCGCAGGCGAGCGCACGCGATGGGCGCCCCGGCCCTCGGGGAGGAGCGCGCAGCTCCCGAGGCCAAGAGGCGCCGCAAGCCGCCAGGTAACCCCGGGCACGAGCCCGTGGCTTGGCCGTGGGGGGAATGCAGACGGCCCCTGGGAAGACGTGGTTTGCAGAGCCCTTCCCAGGGGAGGCCACCACGTGATGTCACTCGAGCATCTGAAAGAGATTTGGGAAGGCGGCTGCTCCGGCCCGGCCCCAGCCCATTGCGTAATCCGGCTCGGCGTTATTTGCTACACGCTTCGTTGGAAGGGATATTTGCACAAAGCGGGGAAAAAAATAAGAATAATAAGTGGCAGTAACCAGCCTGTTTGAAGAAGGGCCAGCTGGACCAGACATGGAGCCTGTGCGGCTGTTTGGGCATCGGGCGGCGCCGGTGCCAAGCGCAATCAGGACCCGGCCCCTCTCCCTTGCTGGCTCCCGGGGTGCCCCTGCACACCCCGACGGGCCCGGCCGCTGCTCACACGGGCGCCACGGAGCAGTCGTCCCTTGTGGGGCAGCTCCACTTGACCCCACAGCCTCTGCAGGGTGGCGGGCGGCCATGGGAAGGACCCAGCCCCTCGACAGGGCGCCGGGTCCCCCACGAACCCACCGAGCCGTCACGTCAACCCCCTCGACAACGCACAGCAGCTTTGCCCGACCCCGCTCCCCACTGGCTCCCACCGCCTCCTTATGGCTTCAATTTATTTCTGGGCTCCTCAGCCCACATTTAATTAGTTTATAGTTTGTTCCAAGTTTTGCTTATCCAGATTTTTTTCTTTTTTTTTTTTTTTTTTTTTGGAGTTTGTGTTTTGATGTTTCGCGTTCGCCCCGGCGACATCTGGAAGCCCTCTGCGGCAGCGCGTTGCCGCTCTCGCTGCCCGCGCGCCTTTCTGAAACCATCGGCGTATCAACATCGAGAGTGCTCAGCTGGCTCTGAGCAGGGCAGCGACGGGGCGCTCACATCGCACCCGGGAGCCGCTGGCTCCAGGACACCCCATGCCCAGGGAGCTGCCGGGTTCTTGGCGGCCTCCTCCGTGACCCGCCAGGAGAGATGGAGAAGGGGGATGGAAAACTGGATCTTCCCGCCCTGACCTCTCCTCCAGAGCGAGCGCGGAGTCGCAGGCGGAGCTGGCTCGGAACAGTTTGTCTCCGAAGCGTTTTGTCCGCTTACTGCTGCATTTCTGGATCACGTTTCTGTATTTAACTCTTTAGCCTCCTTCATGCTGCCGCGCAGGACCGTGGCATTCAGCCCCCTAACCACACACCAGCATCGCAGTGATGTTATTTTTTTTATGCCTGTTGAGCTGCATTTACAAATACATAAAAACACAAACATAGAATAAAAGCTTTTTTTTCTGAGCTTTGAAGCCCACAAGCCCTGCCCTGGCCCCGCGCCGCAGGGAGTTGCACTTGGGCGCCCCAAATCCCGGTCACACATTCGGGCGCTGTCCCTTGGAGGGGCTGCTGGCGCTAATCGGGTCACCCACAAGAGACCCCTTGGCTGGCAGCAGCCCCCGGCACCGGGGCCGTGTCGTGGTTGGTGGTGGGTGCTCTGTGGTCAATGTGAGGCCCTTGCTTGGTCCACAGGACCACCTTGGTAGTCAGGGTCTCCTGCTGCAGCATTCAGTGATGTGGCCACCAAAAACACCCTCCCTCCAGCAATTGTGTCCCTGGGTCCCCACAGCAGGTTGCTGGACCCCATAGCACCTCGCCAAGGGCGTTTATTAAATTAGACCAAAAACTGGTATGTATCTATATATAAGCCTCTCGGCTGCTTTGTTTGTCCTATTTTTTGTTTTGGGTTTTTTTCTTTTTTGGGAGGCACACCAGCAGCCTTGCAGCAGGAAGTTTAAATTTAGCCGGGACGTATTCCGCACCCTAGAGCGGGTCATTCACCCTCGGCATAAAAATAGACCTTCTTTTACACTCGTGAGACGCGCGGCGCGGCCGGGCGCGGGCGGCATCATCCCCTTGCGCGGGATCCCCGGCTGGAGGCACCTGTTTCCTCAGGGCTGATGCAGCCGCCTCCGCTCCGGGCGGATGCCCCAACCCGCTGCCCCATCCGCGGCCCCGGGGGAAGCGCTCTGCCCTCTGCACCCCTTGTGCCCGCAGCCGCGGCGCGCCGCAGCCTGAAGACCAACCTGTGCAAATGGTGCGACGCGACGGCGCCCGCCTGCGAGGAGCGCGTCTGCTACAGCAACTGCAACCTCAACTCCTACTGCGAGAGCCCCTACGAGATCTGCGTGGCCATCTGGTAAGCGGCGGCCCCGCGCGCGGCCCTCCCGCCATCCGCCGGCGTTCGCGGTTTGCAGCAGAGAGCTTCGCCTTGCCTATGATTTGTTTTGTTTTGTTTTTCCTAAGGAAACTGCGTTAAATGCAGTTTGCAATGCAAAACCCCGTGGGTTTGTGCCGAGTCTGCCTCGCTTGCGTGACATCTCCCGTGTAGCTTCACAAGCTGAATCCACTGGGCAAAACCAGCCCATCCTTCAGGTCCTCAGGCCACAAAGTTTTCAAGAGAGCTATAAATGCTTTAAATGCAAGCTCTTGAATGCCCCGCTTGCCATCCCAGATGCATTTTGCTCCCCATGGGGAAAACCAACAAAAATGTCCATCTGGGGTCTACCCAAAGGGACTTTTCCCCTCTATCCCTTTTGATTTGTCTGAAGAAGGGAAAAGCAGCTGGGCGCTTGAGCTCAACCTGCTAGTTAGGGGCAAAGCCATGCGGGCCCTTTGCAGCATCCTGCCTCAACGTAATTGCCATGTTAGGAGCCAAAAGCAGAACAAAACGACGACAGGAAAACAAAATTACAAAAAGAAAATAAAACAAAAGAAAAAAACACACACACACAAAAACACACAAACCAAAATCAAAAATTCCCCTGTCCCAGGCTCCCCGGCTTTGCCACGTTCAGGTCTATAAGGGCTGCGTGGGGCTCGTGTGGGAGATGACGATAGCTGGGACTGGCTCTGTCGAGTTTGGGGAGCATTTGGAGTGACCTGGATGTGGCAGCAGTTTTGTATGGCTAATGAAGAGGGATGCTGCTCCCAACCCCACACAGGGCACATGGGGCCCTTACGTGATCCCGCGGGTGGTTATTAACCCATGGAATATTCCCTGGAAGCCAGCGGGGTCTTTGGCTCAGGTCCTGCTGTTGATGGGTGCTGAAATGTCACCATTTGGAAACAGTGTTAGCACCATCCCTTCTAAACATAAACATAGGAAAAATTTATACCCCTGCAAACAAGTCAACAAGTGCATGCCTTAAAGACTAATGACTGGCAGCAGTTTAGGATGGCATCCAGGTGACCTTGGGAAGTTTACCTGGTGACATTGGGACAACAGGCCCAGGGCTGCCGCTTTCTGAAGGCTGGGGTTCTCATCTAACACTTTCTCCCTTCCCTTGTCCCCTGCAGGAGGCAAGACAACGAGAGCATCAGGATCAGCACGCTGTGCCACAACCCCCAGCACCCCATCGAGAACCTCATGGTCCCCAACTACAACACCTCCCGCTGCATCATGAGCCACCAGCCCAGCGAGGACGGTGCCATCTACATCTGTGGCTTGGTGGACGATCAGGAATGCAATGACAAACTCATCTTCGAGAACCACACCAACGGTGAGTGTTTTTATGGACGTTACTTAAGGCAGCGAGAAGCGCCTGCTGCTCGCGATACCCGACTCCCTCATTGGGAGTGCAGGACTTGCACTTCCAAGGGAGATAGAACTGCTGCAACATCATCTTTCACCTCCTGTAGCTACATTTTTTACCCAGTTACCACAGCACTGAGCCCGGTGTTGGCTGTGGTCAAATGACCCCTGCCAGAAATGCCTTCAGTCTGGCACTGAACACATCCGGAGATGGAAAATCCACCATCTCCCTCACGGCCGTGCCCTCCGGCACGGGACAGATCGAAACCCCGGCGCTGGGGTGACCCCGGGGAGAGTCGATGCTCTGAAAGCTTGGACTAAACTTCACTGGGGCAATCCTGCCCCCATGTCGGAACCGGACATGGACACTAGGGAAAACGAAGCTCCTTGTTCAATCCTGAACCTTTGGGGTCTTGTTTAACCCTCTGCTGTGCAGGGGGGAGGCACAGGCTTCCCCCAGCACCAGTCGGCCACGCTGAATCCAACCCGCAAGAAAAGCACCCCCATATTCCTCTGGTTTTCCATAATTACAGAGCAACAAAATGCCAAAAATGAGGCTAAGTATAACCTGCAAGCGGGCAGCGCGACGGCTCCCGCGGCGCGGGGGGAGACGGGGCATGGCACGAAGCGCAAATTGGCCGAGCAAACGAGCCGCTTCTAACGAAGGTAACCGATGCGGAGCCCGCGCCGCTGCCAGGGCCAAAAAAACAGGGATGCACGCGGCCAACCCCGAGCCTGATACCGGGATACAGCTTTTCACGCCAAAATGACCACTGGCTAAATCAGCACCTCGCAGCGCGAACGAAGCCAAGAGCTTTGCAAGACCCTCTCCAAACAAGCTATTTGCATCCCTTTCTACTGTTTTAAGTAATTTTTGGTGTTTGACTTGAAATGTTATGGTAACCTCCGCTTCTATGGACCGACTCCGAGCGAAGCAATAAGGAATACAGATAAGAGCTGCTGGTCGAGGTAGACACATGAAGATGGACCCAAGTAGCAGCACCCAATGACTTTTGGGGTTAGAGGTCCACAGTTAAGTGCAGAGAAAGCAGAGCAGCCCCCTCTGTTTTTCCAGGGACAGATCTCAGCCCTCCCACCCCAGTGAACCAAGGGTTTTGCACAGGGAAGGGGCATCCTCACCAAGGAATTTGCTGAAGTTGTGTTAAGTTACTGTTTGCAGCCCTTTTGCACATAATTCTTTTTTTTTTCAAAAAAAAAATCTCTTTCTTTCTTTCTTTCTTTCGAGTTTCAGAGATGTGATCCTAAGCATCGGGTAAATCCATTAAAGCAGTAGGTGATATCCAGGCCTAATGCTTTCCAAAATAAACATATTCCTGAGTTAGTTATTGATTTATATCAGTTTAGGTTGATCTTGTGGTTTGAACTTGATGCCTATTTTAGAAACGCTTTCACAGCCTTGCAGAAATTAGCTGCAGCAGATTTTTTTGAAATTTGCCAAGTAAAATAGCTAAATGCTCTGTTTTTCCAGAACCTGAATTATGATCTGCACACACTGAGGTCAAACAGCAAGAGTTTTGCTTATGGAATGATTCTTATCCCTCTTCCCCTGGGTTATTATACTTGGCAGGAAAACCTCTGAGTAAGATTTTACTTGAATATCTCTACTGAAGTCAGCATGTTTATTCCAGGAATTGCAAACATCAAAGGATCAGACAATTATATGTTGTGCGAGGGTTGTTGGGGTTTTTTTTCCCCCCTCTCCCCAATGATCTGAAGGTTGATGGGGCTCAGAAGAACTGAACCAAATCAACCATTCGTGGGCCGCAGGCGGGTGCCAGCGCCGCAGCACGGCGCAAAGCTAAACACAGACCCTGGCGAGCGGCGGCAGCTATTGCCCTTCACACCAGCGGCCGTCGCGGTGGCTGCTCTTGCTGGAGATGAGACACCTCCAGCAGCTCCTTGGATGGGCTGGTGGAGGAGACACGCACAAGAGAAGGTGCTGGTCACTGGTCACCTGCATGAGACCTCCTTGGTCCTCCACATGCCGTGACCCACCGTCTCTTCCAGCCCTGCAGTCCTGAGTCCTCGCTTGATAAATGGAGCTGGAGTGAGCGGCCCTCTAAGCAGTCACACGCATCTGAGTCCTTACCCTTTGCTCCGAGGGGATTTGTGCACAGCGTGCGTTATGTCCCTGCAAACGGCTGCGCTTTATTAACCACCTCGCATATTTTCCTCCTACGCGTGATCAGAACAAGATGTTGCAGACCCTGTGCCGCGGCGCGCTCATATCTGCTTCCCTTCCCGCAGGATACTCCATGCTGCAGAGCAAAGAGGTCATCCCGGTGGCGGCCATCAGCCTGCTGCCCCCGCTGCTGGTGGCCGTCATGATCACGGTGATCTTCTACCTGTGCCGCACGCAGAAGCGGAGGAAGCGAGCAACGGACGGGGGCCCGAACACAGGGCAGCCCGAGCGGGGCAAGGCCGCCGAGCGCGACGAGAAGCTGTCGGTGATGATGGACGACAACCAGGCCGCCATGAGCTCCACCTGCGCCAACAGCATCAACCACAACACCGAGCTGCTCCCCATCGAGCTTGACGAAATGGTGGGCAAAGGCCAGTTTGCTGAGGTCTGGAGGGCCAAGCTAAACCATGCTAGTTCGGGGCAGTATGAGACAGTGGCTGTGAAGATCTTCCCCTGCGAGGAATATTCCTCCTGGAAAAATGAGAGCCAGATCTTCACAGACGCCAGCCTCAAGCACGACAGCGTCCTGCAGTTCCTCACAGCGGAGGACAGGGGCTCGGGGCCCCGCAAGGAGTACTGGCTCATCACGGCCTACCACAGCCGCGGCAACCTCAAGGACTACCTGTCCAGGCACATCCTGAGCTGGATGGACCTACAGAAAATGGCCGGGTCCCTCGTCAATGGGGTGGCTCACCTCCACAGCGACTACACAGCCTGCGGCCGGCCAAAAATCCCCATTGCCCACCGGGACATCAAGAGCACCAATATCCTGGTTAAGAACGAGCAGGAGTGCGTGCTGTGCGACTTCGGCATCGCCATCCGCCTCGACCCTTCCCTGACGGTTGATGACTTTGCAAACAGTGGGCAGGCAAGTACTACCCAATTCCCATGCCCCGGGCAGCACTTTGCTAACATCACGTGTGCTCTTGGGCTCTCAAACACCAAGCAGAAGCCGCATCCCTTCAGGGACCAGGGGTTTGCATCCATGTGGTGCCACGTGCTGGCATTTCTGCTAACATCTCTCCTCTTTGCGGGCAGGTGGGCACCGCCAGGTACATGGCCCCGGAGGTCCTGGAGTCCAGAGTAAATCTCGAAGATCTGGAGTCTTTCAAGCAAATGGATGTCTACTCCATGGCCCTGGTTTTATGGGAAATGGCCTCCAGATGTGAAGTGGTAGGAGGTAGGAACATTGCACCACATTTCTTTTGCACATTTTTGCTCCCTTGGTGTTCAGGGAACCAACTCTGTGATGCTCTGTGGTTCACACTCTCTTTCCCCAAAGCAGCGATGACTCCGCTCTGCCTCACTGCTGGACTCATCTCGCGCAGCGCTTGCTTCGCATGACCTCTCTCTAGAGGGTTGCTGAGGGTGGGTAGCAGATTCCCCCAAGTTCTGTGGTAACAGAGACAGCTAATGACCTTGTGTGTCACAGCACGAGGGAAACCAGCGCCGTGGTCAAAGAGCAGGGAAGGGGACACCACTACTTTTGTCCGCAGCTGGAGAAATGCCATTGAAGGAGGCCTCATGCTCCAGGAAGCCCCACTCAAAGGCATCAGCTCTGCCTGCGTCCTGTGGAAAGGCCTCTCTTCTGTCACGAGACCAGATGGTCCCCCGCAGTTTCCACCACAGTGACAACGTCCTGAGGAATCTCACAGAGGACTGCAGGAATTAGAGAGGCCCTCCAGGCCTGGTGGGGATAGTTCAGAGCGATCTCCTTGGCTCTCCATTGTGATGAGGGGGGTGGTTGTCCCAGGGCTCAGTATTTCCTGGTAACAAAACATTACAAAGCAGAGTATGGGAATAAGAGGGAAAAACATGCAACTGAAAAGAGCTCACAGGCAAAATCACAACTATTCTGAAGTCTGGAGGGATTTTCCCTGTTCAGCTCTATGAAGCCAGGATTTTATCCCATATTTCCAGGCAGATCCACATCAAATTCAGCAAATGCAGATGCAGAATTCTGTTCCAAAACTGACCTGATTTAGACCAGAAAGTCCAGTGGGAGGCCCAGGATGCTGGTCTTCAACAGCGAGGGTAGCCAGGGAAGCTCCCTGCTCTTCAAAATTTCAGCCGTTGGGTTTATCCCAGGAGGGCACTCATGAAAATACTTGACACAAAGACTCACCCGAGGTGAGTAAGGACTTTATCCCTTTGTTTTAACTAAAGAAACACAGAAAGGCACCAGTCACTTGGCCTTACAAGCGCAGTTGCAGTCTGGCACCTGCAGTGCTAAAACGATCCAAATTCTAACACTGGTTGTAGAGTAATTGAGGTTTGAAGGGACCTCAAGGGGGTCATCTGGTCCAGCCCCCGCTCGAAGTGGGGCCAAACTTGAAGTTAAATCCAAGTAACTGCTGATGATGCAAACAAAAGCAAACAGGAAGAGCCAAAGTTGGCTCCTTCCTTCCTACCTCCCCCTTTTCCTCAGCTGCAAAGACTTTTTTAAAGATTGTGCCAGAGAGTTTATATTGCAACAGGGACACACAAACTCCAGCCTCCAGCAATGCCACCTTCCCTGTCACTTCCCTAGTCACATCCTGGCCACAGAGTTTTTGCATTATAAAACATTCAATTAATCACCCTGGTGGTATCCCCTGACTGTCATCCCGCCTGCTCCTCTCTCTTCTCTTTATAGCTCTCTCCAGTTGTGTTTTTGCTATTTGCTTTTCCATTTTTCTTTCCCCCATCTTCTTCCTGTGGAAGCTCCATGGAGTAGTTCTTCCATGGAGCTGGAAGAAACTCTGACCCCGGCAAGAAAACTGTCCCGAATCTTCTCCCTATGTGAGAGCCTTGCCTAGCTCAGACCATTCCACATCCCCATTGCAGCAGCTCCAGCCCCCTCACATCCCGTGCTGCCCTTCCCTGGTGTGGCCATGGGGTTTCACCTGCCTGTAGCCCTTCCGATGCTGCAGGACTTGGTTCACAGCCCAAGCTGGGTACCATGGAACAACCTGGTTCTGATAGCACAGGCCTTCACACGGGCTACCAGGTCTTCCTCCTGGCAGAATAAAGAATTCCTCTCGGTCCCCAGGCAGCTCAGCAGTGACAAGAGGAATCTAGTTCTGCCCTTCTGGAGACCCCGTTACCGACACACTGTGCCTCTCGCAAGCTCACGTGGGGAAAGGCGCACAAGCGCTCAGCGGCACTTCGCAGTGGTGAACAGTGCAACTGGCTGAAACCACAGTGGACACGCACTTGTGCAAAATGGAACTTCTTGTTGGCATCCTACAGTCTGGAGGTTGCTCTTATAGAAGAATCATTTCCCATCTAAACGAGCTGCTGTCTGTACCAGGAACCTGCATGTTGGTACCGTGATTGCCTCTCTCATCTTTTGCCTGCATGCCATGTTTAACCTGCTAGAAATGTGCTTCTTCTAAAGACTGAGTCCCAAGAAGAGGCTTTTGAGTAGAGGGGTAAGATAGCCATTGGTGCCATCTCTGAAAACAACTTTGACATGAAAACACACCATCTCCCAGCATTATTTTTCCATGCTCAAATCCTAAAAGGTTTCCAAATAAGTTTATTTTTGTAAACTGATTAATACAAATTTATTCCTATTCATTGGGCCATACCAAGACAGTGCAGAGAATGTATGAGAAACACCTTGTAACGCTCCTGTTGTTTCCTTGCAGAAGTAAAGAATTACGAGCTACCTTTTGGGTCAAAAGTGCAGGAGCAGCCCTGCGTGGACACCATGAGAGACATCGTGCTGCACGGCAGAGGACGCCCCGAGATCCCCAGCAGCTGGTTGGTGCATCAGGTAAGCGAGGAGCAAGTGGATGGCTGAGAAAAGCGCAACTCACGTTGTCCAACTTCACTGACCTGACTGGAAACTTGCATTTTTCAGTGCAAACGCATCTGAGCCCCAAGCACTTAGGAAAGCTGCTGTAATCAATACAAATGCAAGCAGAACAGCTGGGTCCTGCTGCCAGTTCATCTTAGCTGGGAGCTCCGATAAGCCCTTCTAGACCAGTCTATAAAAGCCACCAGCTGGGGCTACCGTAGATTATTATGTCAGGGACTCCCTGCACCTGACAGAGTTGTCTCTTCCCCCAGCTCTTGCCTAACTTTGTCCTTTCTTATGGGAATGGAAACATGGAAAACACCATCCATCCAGCAGCAGTTCAGATGACCTGAAAAACAGCCTGAAAGACTGGGTTTGCTGGGTCATAGAGCCTTATAGGGCTTATTGCTTGGTCAGCACAGATCATTCTGCAGTATCTGCCCATAAAAACACTACCATTACTTCCAGTCGGAGTGGATGTTGGTTACAGTTAAAGAGCAACCACATAACTTCAGAATCCCACACATTCCCTACAACATCATCCACCTAAAATATGGAGAAAATTATGCTTGCCCAAAGCACCATGGTACCTGAGCAACCAAGGCTTCAGATAGTGTCAGATAAACCTCTGGTTTCTCCTGGGCCATCAGTATCAGCAAGTTCAGCTCTGAAGCTCACCCAGGCTTCTTCCCTCATGGGGGTGAAGAAAAATACTGGCACCTAAATCCGAGCTGCTGCATATTTGAAGCCTTTGAGTATTCACCTTGGCCATTCGCCTCCCTGATAAACTTTGAAACCACATTAAAAACACACAGATGTTGGGCTGTGAAAAACGGCAGGCGGGAGAGCCCCAGCATGGCCGTCCTGATGGGCACTGGGCTGCAGCAACCGCCGAGAAATCACCTCGCTGCAGCGGGGCTGGGCCAACGTGTAACAAAGCAAGGTTTATGAGGCAGTAACTTTTATTAGACCACCTAATATTCACTAGGGAAGAGAACCAGAAAAGCCATCTTGTGTTCCTAAGAGTTTTCCTCTGGCTAATATTAGCTGCTCTAATAAACATCCCCTTACAGGCCTGGCTTTACATTATTTTGCTGGCACCTTCTGAGCCTCGCTAGCGTGCAGGATAGGGCAGCACCATCTGCTGGAAAATAGCAGAAAATCCCGGTTTTGTGCCACACGCTGCCTCCCGTCCCAACCACAGCCTTTGGGGAGGAGGCACTGGGTGATACCTAGGAAGGGAGACAAGTTATTCATGTGAATGAGCAACACCTGAGACATTCCCACTCATGGAAATAAGTTTGACACAGAGCTCAAAACACTGCTTCCAGGGGGTTCCCTCATTAAATGAGGGCCTAAATTCTTGATTTAGGATTTTCCAGCAGCATCCAAGACCACAGGTTTACATGTATTCATTTCCCTGGGGCAACTGGCTCAAGCAGCAGGGCCCTTGCTGCCCCTCAGCAGCCCCAGAGCAACTCCCTGCAAGGCTGCACAGCCAAAGTTTGTCCCCGAAGTCTCTTGGATAAACTTAAAAATATGCTAAAATCCCTTTTTTCTTACTTTTCCATCATGAAAAAAGTGGATATTTGGTTCAGGTAAATCCCTGATCTGGTTCACCAGGAAGCTGAACATACTGTTATAATGGCACAAGCGAAGGGCTGCTCCAGGATGGGAGAGAGCAGGGAGAGCCTCAGGCAGCCCTGCTGCCAAAACAACACTGTAAAACCAGGGCCAGACACAGCGCCCACCTCCCTGTGCAAATGTAGGGTATCAAGTATAAAACCCCCAAAAAGCCCATCTTGCACTGTAAGAAAACAAGATGCTACACTGGTACCATTCAAAAGAGCAGCATATTTATTTACAAGGCAAGCTGTAATTAAATGTCATGATTTCAGGGCACAAGAAGCCCAGAAAAGCTAACAATTACCCAGTGTGACAACCCAATGCTTTAGCTGAAAAAAAAAAAAAAAACAAGGCTCATTCTAAACGCTCCCACTAAGCTAGCTCATCTTTACACTTTAATTATCCTCAAGCCCTTTCAACTAGGCTAATAAATGACTGACATGAGAAGCACCAAAACGTACCATCTGCCAGCTGTACCGTGCAATCCTGTTCTCTCCAATCTGGGGCCGTTACAGCAGATTTAGCATAAATCTGCTCAGAAGAGGGAGTTCTCAGAGAGGTGCAAAAGGACAGACAGCGGCGGTGCCTCTGCACAGGACTCGTGTTTTTCTTTCATATTAGTATCTGCAAGGCTGCAATCCTGTTCTCTCCAATCTGGGCCTGTTACAGCAGATTTAGCATAAATCCCAGCTCAGAAGAGGGAGTTCTCACAGAGGTGCAAAAGGACAGAGACAGCGGCACTGCCTCTGCGCAGGACTCATGTTTTTCTTTCATATTAGTATCTGCAAGGTTTTGGAGCTTTCTTAATCAGAAATTAAGATTTTACACAAAAACACTGAAAAAAATGCCCACAGGTTTATTAGAATAATAATAGGCTTTATGTAGAATAATAATTTGCCAAGGGTATTGCAACCTTCTTTAATAATGACTTAAAAGGATAGATTATACGAATTACATGGTAAAAGAAAAGGGCAATATAACTTCTTGAGCTGCCTGGGCTAAAGAAAGGAAGAAAAAAAATTGGAGTCAAATACTCTTGTTTGATTTCTAAGCCTAAATTACCAGGACCTTTTCCAAGCACTGGGCGAGCAAAACCAACCTGAAACTGGGAATTGCATCCACTGCAACTGAGTGGACTCTAAAGGGACTGGGAAGCACACTGGGAAGTGCCTAATTCCTACCCTTTAGGAAGCTGCTGAAACACCAAGGCCTATTTAATGAGCTTAATTTTGATAAAACTGCCTTTTCCCCTCACCGCTCATCCTGACACAGGCTGCAAACCGAGAGCCCTGTGCACAGCACCTGTCTCTCCTCCTGGTTTTATGATGCTCGATCCAAGCAGCAAAGGTGCAAACAGGAGACGGAGGGGCCAAATTCCCTGGGACTCCGTGTCAGTCCCGCGGTGATGGCAGCATCTCTCAGGGAAGGGCTAACGGCAGCTTTTCCATGGGCAGGGCATGCGCTTCCTGTGCGACACCATCACGGAGTGCTGGGACCACGACCCTGAGGCGCGCCTCACGGCGCACTGCGTGGCCGAGCGCCTGGCCCTCATGGCGCAGATGGGCTGCGACGACATCCTCAACAACAACACGGACCGCGAGGCCGGCAAGGCCCAGCCGGGCGCCAGGACCGCGCAGTGACGCGGCCGGAGCCTCCCACAGCGGAACTAAGAGCTGGCACCTAACTTATTTATGAGACCTGTTTCATCGCGCGGATACGGGGCGGAAAACTGTGGAATCGGTACTTTGGCTAGAGTGCAACATTGTATATGAACTGATTTTGTACTTACTTTAAGTGTATAATGATGCAAAGCATTTCTTTTGTTATTTTTTAAAATAATAATGTTTAATCTTTTATTAATAAGCATCTGAATTCTATGCCCATCTTTTGAATTCTTTCAAATGTTGCCACAGCAGATTTCTCCCCTGCTTCTGCAGGGTCAAGACACTTTCTTTTTCCTTAATAGCCCACCCTAAAATTATCTGTATGTGTAGCCAAAGAAGAAATTAAGCGATTACTTGAGATATTCAGACACCATTAGTAGAGCAAACCCACTCTCTCAAGGAAATCATTGCTGCAACAGCCAGTCCCCTCCACACTGTAAGGAGGTACCCGATAACTCAGTCATCAAAAGCCTCAGTTGCTGCAACTCCAACACATTCAACGGTGAATTCCTGGTATTCCTGAATCCCTGATATATCTGCCAAACGGCTTGACAGTTCAGGTGAGCCTGGGAAGTTTCTTCAATAAAAGCCACCAATACAGGTGCTGCTGTTCCACTGTGAAAAGCCTCCACACAGGCTACCTAGACAAGGCTTTCTGCCTGTTGCGGTCTAGTTTCCAGCCAAACGTAAACGCCGCTTTTGTGCCATAGCTGCTGTCAACACAAAAACATTGCCCAGTTCTTCTGGGAACGCTCTTCTACGCTACTCAACACGACGAATCACGATCAGACAGAGCAGGGATCTTCACTCCCAGCAAGCAGCGGATCCAGGCAGGCTTCCCGCGTGGTGGGAAGGCGGTGAAGGGCAGAGGCGAGCGGTGCTTCGCTCTGCCGGTCGCGCTGCCTCACGCGGGGAGCGCACGGTGCTCAGCGCCGCCGGCCCTGCCCTCCTGCAGGGAGGGGGCTCGTGGCAAACTCCTCCTGGCAGTCCCTGGCCACACGTCCCCGCTGCCACACGAGGGCCAGGGAGAGCCCCTGCAGCCTGGGCGCCCTGGGGATGAAGGCAGAGCCGCAGCATCTTCCATCGTGTCTTCAAAAAACAGTCATGCAAGCACCAGCCCGCCCAAGAAAACATTTCCTCTCCTTACCCTTTCCACCTTATTTATTTCCCCCATGGTTCCTAAATTAAAAGCCCAGAGCAAAATTATTTCTGATTCCTTCCCTTGAAGGAAGAGAAAGGAGTCAGGCTGCATGGAGCCCGGATCAAGTCTTCACAGAAATTTACATCAGCTACCACGTATAAACCTCCACCTGTAACTGGGGCCATAGCTTCCATCCAATTTACAGAGTGAATTTTTCTTGTGAAAACCAAATGCAAGAATGGGTGTGTGTATATATATCCCCTGTGTGTGTACATATATAAATATATACATAAATATATAAACACACAGGCTATACATACATATATTTAGCCTGAATGAATGCATTACCTGAAAGGACTCGCCAAGCTCTTACATTAGCAGCAGGATACCTGGGATCTCTGAAGGGAGTCACTTATTTTAAGCTTCAAGATCCGTTTCTATCTCAAGGAGCCTAAAACCACTGAGATCAAGGAGTTTAGCTCTCAGCTTCAGTGCAGTGCAATCAAACCAAGGAAGAGGGGAACACGAGCCTAAATCCCACAGTCTGTCCCGCTCCCTGTTTGAGCACCCTGTGCTCCTGGAACACAGGTAGGGAGCAGCATTGAACCTTCCCCTCACCCCAGAGGGTAGGAGACGCAAAGAGCAGCAGCTACGCAAGAGAACCAAATCTGGTGAGAGTTAAAAATACATTAATTAGTCCACAAGTTACTTGCAATTCTTAGAAGAGCCACATCCATGTCATACAATTTAAGCTGGATATTTGGTGGCAAGCATTCTTCTAAGAACCATTTTCTATTATATCTTCCGTTTCCAGAAGTAACCAGAAACTTCCATTAAATTGACATCATGAAACCATTCCAGTTCGTGTGATGATTGGAACAAAAGAAGATTTTAGTTCATTTCCCCTATCCAGTAAAAGGAATTGCCTCATTTATTTTAAAAGACTACTTCTTTGGTGTTAGCCTATTTTTACACAGTAAAATTAGTAACAGCTTTCTCAGTATGAAACCACAAGCATACCAGATGAGGCTGGAAGAAAAGCAACTTGACTAATAACATTATATAAGGGACACAAATGGGTTTATGGCCAACATGGGAGCTTTCCTGGCTGTTTTACAGCCATCACCTTGAGAAATCCCCAGATCATAATTTTAAGCAGAGCTCAGTGACCGAGTCAGAGATCTGCACCTCAGTAAGTACATGCTTATCAGTGGAGTTTGGTTTTCTGCTACGATCACTGCAATATTAAAAGGTGGACCTTGCTCCAGAGCTCTGTTTTTTTATTTAAAGAATATCTGCCATGTGACAAAAAACTGTGAAATATATACAACATTCAAAGGCAGGCCAAAGGCTTTCTTCCCTTCTGCTGCTCCCAGCTTGGTGCAGGTCCTCATGAGCTCCCAGACAGAGGGAGCTCATCACGTTTCCTACCCCAAGCCCTGACGTGGCGAAGGGGCTGCCCCACACGTGCTGCACACCGGGGACGAGTGGGATCTAGTGCCACAGGGTTTTGCTTTCATTCCTGATTGAACACGAAAATGCCCGACAGACAACCAAAACCAAGGTGACAGGGCCACAAACAAGCAGGCAGGACCTAACGCACATATCTCTGCAGGAGAACAGCTATGACTGAAATGCATACTGCAAAAATACTGGCATAAAAAAAAATAACTAAAAAAAGGACACCAAGTTCCTCTTCTGATCAACTGGTCTCCAGGAAAATAAACAAAACGAATTAATCATTTTGTAGTTTTATTATCCCCACCCCCATGTCTCACAAATGGACTATGACTCGCATTGAGATCTCAGTGCATTTCACAGCAAAAAATGTACAAGAGAATCAAAAGAGTTGTGCATAAATCCAACTTTTTTTTTTTTGCACAATTTACAGTTTGTGTTGAAAGCGAACATGGTTATTTTGACCTTCTGATGCGATCTTACATTTGTACCTCCTCCACAAAAAGACATCTTACCAGACCACACGGGTGCGAGTTCTCATGACGATGGATGAGGTGCAGCCATTGCCCTGGCTGGAAAGTGGCAGATAATGTCATATACACTGACTGGAAGACTACATCAGAAGAAAAAACAGAGTAAGGCACCACCGTTGGAAAAATTAAGGTAGCTTGTAGTTACAACAATAACGAAAGCCATTAGTACTATTCTTAATTGCCAGCAATTCTTAGACTTCAATAAAATACTTATAAAAAACAAAGGATGTTTGTACCTGAATACAGTTTCCTGATATCTGATTGTGTTTTAAAAATCAATACCCAGTCTTCAGCATAATCAGCTTTTTTTTTTTTTTTATGGTAAGATGAAATACAGTCCATGTATTCACAGGTCACATTTCACTGCTTTGTTCCAAATAACACCACAGGAGAAAGACCAAAACAATCCAAGAGACAGTTTGTAACACTGATACTTCACCTCTGAGATGTTTAGATGGGCAGAGAAATTCAAATACAAAATTGTATGTTCTCTGCTCAGTTTGAAAGCCTTAGTCCTTGGGAAGGGAAGGTGGAGGAGGAAGAAAAGGGTCAAACCTCATTACATATAACATGAGCAAAATCCAAGTCACTCAAAGAGATTTAATAAAATTAGGAGTTGAAAAGTGTTCAAATTCCTTTTCCAATTCAAGTCAATTATTTCAAGTATATTAAAATGTTTCAGAGGAAAAATTTCTCCATGGTTACAATTCTAATTGCTTTTATAAATCCACAAAAAAGGTAGTCTCTACGTATAATCCATATCCATGTTCCTCCGACGCATGCACGGATTCTCTCTGAAGAAAAAAGTTGTCATGATCCAGTTGTTTCGTAACACTGATTTCAGGCACATCTTCCAAACACCCCTCCAGTTTTCACCATAGGTTAATCACTGGGCATAGAAGCAGCTGGTTTTTGTTGCCATTGCTTATGTGGGTACTAAGTGTATTTCAGTTACCCAACGGAGCTTGTTGAAGATTCAGAAAAAAGTCCCCACGCCACTCTCAAGTCAAACAGTTCCTCTCTTAGGCAGCTTTTGCAACCAGACCTAATTAGAAGAATGTTACACAATTCAGATAAAATCTCTCAGATCATACAAAAAGGTTGGTTGAACGTACCTGGCAAGTTTGACTCTAGAACTTTTTTTTTTTTTTTTAATATATATAGCTTTAAAGTGCCCTAGTATATTTATTTCTTTATGCTTGTTTAAATTTCCACAGTTACATAAAAAAGGGGACACTCAGTGTAATTACCGTGTTTCGAGAGACAGACAGAGAGAGAGAATATCAGAAACAGAAAACTCATCTCCAAGCAGCTTCTCTAGTTATTGTCCATTTGCTGAGTTTGTACGGTGGAAACAGTTTTCCAAAGGGGTTTATGATAAACCCAGCCATCACCCTGCAATCCAAGTAGAGAGAATACAGTTTATTTCAGCTATTAACTATAAACTATAGTTTATTATAACTGCTATAATTACAAGAGGCTACCCTGAGAGTATTCTCTGCTCACAACCCGATAGCTGTGGAAATAGAGAGGACCAGGTCTACACTTTTAACTCCCCCAGGTTAAGAAGCACAACAGAAATTGGCACCACAGGCTCCTCAGTCTGCCCAGAACCTGCCCAGCCCCTGGCTGGGCCACTGCTCCCTGTGGGAAGTGACTGCACGTGCAGGCAACCCAGGGGAAAGGTGCTGTTCTCACTTGCATGGGCCAGATCAGCTCTAAGACAGCCCAATTGCTTACCCAGAAATGTTCAATCCAGAACTGCTACATTTTCTGAATAGATCTGCACCTCATTTTTCTTTCAGGTTAGTGTTATGAATTCACCTTGTCTAAGTCTAGATGTTAGCAAATGCAAATCCATACATCTGAGCTAATATCACTAACACAGCTTTAGAGAATGACAAAGTTTCCTGGAGCTAAAACATAACCTTTGGTTAAAACCACCTCTACCTGCTTAACCTAGATTTTAAATGCTTGCAAAGATAGAGTGATAGGAAGGGGATGTTTCATTACTACAGTTTAACAGATAAATTTTCAAACAAGTCTTTGCCTCATTGCAGCATAAATGAAAGTAAGGAGCCCCCCTCTCTTGCAAGGGGATCAGTAAGATTCTCTACACGTACGTTCTCATCTGGATGAGAAGGAAAATCTCTTTTAAAGCCTGCATCATACCAGCAGTCTCCAGTCTTCCCAAGTGATGTGCAACTGACCTTGTTAAAGTCTTACTGTGTTGCTATTATTGCAGTAAAGGTTAAGTCATTGAATGCAAAAGCTCCATTCAATCCATAAGGTACAAGAATGAAAAATGCTCCAGTTCCTCCCTGCTATCCGTACTGGTGTTTTGGCTTTACGTGCACACAACAGCAGCACAGTTTAGAACTGCTGTCATTGCCTCCTGGGGTTCACTGGTCCTGCCTACTTGCAGAATGCACACATAGAGCAATTTGCCATACATCAAACGCTTAGAAAAAGAAAATTGAGCACTAAACAGGGAAATATTTTGTTGTAGGGGACTTGCAAAATGAGTGCTTGGGAAGTAAAGGGCAAGGTCGCCCCTTTCCACACTTCCTGCTCCAGATCCCATGGATCCTGTCAGACCTAAGGCCAAATGCTCCGCGTGTGAATACCTGTATTTACAACTACTCTCACTGTAGCTCTGCCTCCTCTCTCCTCTGTCAGCTGTAAACTACTTGGGAACTTGCCTCTTTCAGGAAGTATTTGGTACACCAGGGTGTCTCGGTCTCCGCGCGGAGCCTCTCCTCGTTCCTCTGCCGTTCCTCCAGGGCTCTCTTGTGCTCTGTCGCCTTATCGATGTCTCCATCCCGCAGAGACTCCGTTACGTGTTGCCACAGTCTCCTACAAAACAAATTCTTGGCTTCACTTTTCAGCAGTTTTCTCACCTTGCCAACTACGTAGCAGGATCATTGTGTGCAATTCTTTCAAAACAGTAAAAAACAGTAAATCTGTCCACCTTTTAATTCTTGTCTCATGTGACAGAAAAGATAAAATAAAATTACATAAGACAGCTCCCGATGGTGCAATGCAGGTGGAAGGGCTTGTGGCTGAGCCTTGCACCTTTGCTAGGAATTAGGGGCAGATTTACGTGGTTCTGAGGCTCAGGCTGTACCCATCTCTGTCCCTTTGTGCACACTTTACAGTTGCCATGGAAGTAGTATTCAAAAAGCAGCCTTTGTGAGGATCAACCTTGCCAGGAGATACTGAGTTGTGCAGCTGAAGGTCAAGAAAAAAAATAAATAGGTTCTGTTCCAGCAGGAGCTTTACCAACTCTCCATTGAGAAAAGACATTGGTGACTGAACACTTCCCTGCATGTACTTAGCCTCCATCGCTATTAGACACTTTAAAAAAGACAAGGACATTTACACATTATTGATGAAGGACAACCAGGTGTCTTCGTGAGTTTTTCAAGGTATTCACCAGAAGGCTCACAGCAAAATCCTGCATCCTTTCCCAAAGCAAACCGTGCCAGTATGTATTTTACCTGGATTCGAACGGTCCTTGCTTCTCCAGGGGCCGCACTCGCTTCCTCGTCACCGCCAGCTTGGTCAGGTCCACGCACTTGGTGTCGCCGCTGCTGTAGGTGAACTCGAGCACGCTGTTCCACTCGCCCTGCACCCGGCACACCACCGTGTTCGTCGCGTTCTGCTTCACCTCCCCGGTGACCCTAGCAAAATACTGTTTTATTTCTAAAACATCAAGACTAAAGACACCTTGGGACTACTCCATGGTCACCCTGAAAGAGTTTGCAAACTTGTCACGCAGTCTTTAGAGGCATTAGCTACTTAAATGGCATTTGCGCACAGAAGCTGAAAGAGGAAAATGACTTTCCCTCATTGCACTAATTCTTTTCATACAGCTAGTTTTTATGTTTAAACTTTGCTTTTAAAATATACCTCACTACCTGCTGGCACTTGACATCAGTCTTTACTGCTGAATTTTCTCCAATCTGCTTTTAGACTTTCGCGTTGCTTACATTAGATATCAGATACACAAGCACAAAAGGCATAGAAGGAAATTCTATGTGTAACAAACCACAACCACCAACAAAAAAAATGAATGAAAACTGCTTTTCCTGTTTGCCACAGAAACCTCTGATACTCGTGATATTAAAAATGCTGCTCTAACATATAACATTTTAAGATCTCAAAATTCTGCACAAATGTTTTAATGTCCCCATAAGTACACACTGATACATATTTCTCTTTTCATCCTCCCAACTTTTCTAAAGACCCCGAGATGCTCATTTTATTATGAGCTCCGTAGAGAAAACTGAGTTTAACTAGGCAAGAGAATTATGCCTTTTTTGTTCAGAAATTAAAATTACAAAGCCCAGAGAGAGGTTGCAACTCTTTCCTTACTGAAAGGGAACAGGCATTGCTAGTTATGCAAAACAGGCCGAAGACACGCTCTGACTTGCAGGGTGCAGCAGGTTTTCCAAACCCCATCCTCAGCCTCAGTGAAACCCCGATGACCCGGGAGCACCAGCTTGAGGGCACGTTGTCCTCAGCTTCCCCTCCCTGCAGGGGCTCCTCGTGTGCATGCAGGACTCGTGCTTTGCCACTTATGTGACACATATCCAAGGACGTCAACTCGCACATCAGCCGCTTGGCTTCTATTACCAAAACTGAAGATTCGGTCAAGAAAACAGGCCGGCGTTGGAGCAGCGTGAGCAGTAAGTGCAGATGCAGCCCCCTCCCTTTTTTTGCAGGGTATTAACAAATGCATAGCAGCTTCTGCAAACACCTAGGAGAGAAGGCAACAAGGAGGCAGCCTTCCTTTTATGCTGCTTTTCCACCCTGCAGCTTTCTCCCCTCTGAAAACCCCGATGACCCGGGAGCACCGGCTTGAGGGCACGTTGTCCCCGGCTTCCCCTCCCTGCAGGGGCTCTTCGTGCACATGCAGGACTCGTGTTTTGTCACACTTACGTGACATGTATCTAAGGACGTCAACTCGCACATCAGCCACTTGGCTTCTATTACCAAAACTGAAGATTCGGTCAAGAAAACAGGCCGGCGTTGGAGCAGCGTGAGCAGCAAGTGCAGATGCAGCCCCCCTCCCTTTTTTTGCAGGGTGTTAACAAATGCATAGCAGCTTCTGCAAACACCTAGGAGAGAAGGCAACAAGGAGGCAGCCTTCCTTTTATGCTGCTTTTCCACCCTGCAGCTTTCTCCCCTCGTGAAGCACCTACACGTGCTGAAGTCCCCCTCGCACCACACCGAATCCCCAGCCTGCCAAGGACTCGCGGGGTCAGAATTCACAGACTCATCTTCTGCAACGCACTGAACAGCTTAATCCTCCCAAGGGCTGCGTGGCCACGCTGCAACCCAGCGCCCGATATTTTAACATTGGTCACAAATTCCTGCCCCTGCACACCTTAAAGTGAGCAAGGTTTTAGCATGCAGAGCTAAGGTGCACGATACAGATGCTACATCAAACTCTCAGCATGTTCTTTGTTTTACTTATTTTATTTTGCTCTTAGCACTACCCTGTGACACTCAGCTATGCCCAGGGCAGCTCTCCAGATCTGTTCAGTAACAAAAGCCCTGCTAAAATTTATTTGTAAACATGGCAAGGTTGACTTAAGGAAAAAATTCTTGACAGTGAGGGTGACAGAGCGCTGGAACAGGTTGCCACGAGAGACTGTGGAATCTCCCTCTCTGGAGATCTTCAAAACCCCCTTGGACACAGTCCTGTGCCACGTGCTCTAGGTGACCCAGCGTGTGCAGGGGGGTTGGACTAGGTGATCTCTAGAGGTCCCTTCCAACCTTAACGATTCTGTGACATAACCCTTCCTATTTACCATTTCCCTCAATATTTCATGGAGCGAAAGAGGCACAGGGCAAGGAGCCCATATCCAGCTGAGGTCTGACGAGGGGCACTATAGGAAAATCTATAGCATCGCTATAGCAACTCCCTCGTGCTCCAGTAACCACGGCAACGCCGCCCTTTCCCAGGGAGATGCTTTTGGCAAGGCCAGTCCCCACCAGGGCGAGTTCTCAATAGCTCCAGTGCCCTCAACAGTTCTCCTTCCACGACGGATTTTCCGGGCACTAACAGCAAAACCTTCTCTAAAACAGAAATATTCAACGAGCCCCAGGCTACAGCTTGGAGCATGTCACAGGAACGACCGCGGGGCGGGAGATGCGCTGTGAGCAACGAACGTGGAAACCCAAACAAGGTGTTGCTTAATTTTTAAATACTTCTTAAATCTTAAGCACAGCCTAACCCTACTGTTCCACTAAAAAGGATTTTTACCCTCATTGAAGAGCTTCTGATGTTCTGGGCTGTGAGATTAAATACATAGGAGGCCATAGTGAAATAGCTAAGGGAGGGTTTTGAGCAAGCCCTGAATGGTTGACCTTGGAGTGCTCTGATTCAGATATTTATTGTACGATAGCACTTAATTTTCTCCTTCCTTAATTAATTGCCTCCATGTTCGTGCAAGGCCAATCTATAGCACATACTCTTACTAAAAAGTCTCTAACACCAATGAGATGCAGAAGCTTTGAAATTCTGCTTTTCCATTAAGTTCTCTAAAAAAGCACAGCATAAAGGCAGCAGCATGGAGGCACTTCCTGAAGCTCGCTGGAAACAGCTGCAGACTCTCCCTGGGCATCTCCTCCTTTACCTGTTACTCTTTCAACATGCACAAGAAGCACAGCTGCCCCATGAAGAAAAAACACATTGCTCAAGGTAAATAAATCAATAAGGAATTTTTAACCTAGAGATTTTCCACAGGTTGCTTAAACTTGATATAATCTCTGTATTCCCAGATAAGCACCAGTACACTATTTAGCGAAATTCCCTGCAGTACTTTTTTTTGCCTTCTTCAAATGCAAGCTGGGGACTCCTGCTATATAATAGCAATAGCACTGAAGCATTTCAATGAAAAAACAGAAAGAATTCCAAGGCAATACAATTACAATACACTGAGCACACAACAGACAACCCCTTAAGACAGCATGATCTACCTCATTTCTCAACCAAAACAAAAGATAAATACCGAGCAGCTTCTGTCAGTAACAAGAGAAGCCTGTGGCAGCCAGGAAGAGGAGCCAGGAATCCTGTTGTCCCAGCGGCTTGTAACAAAAATTCAACAAATAATGTGGAATTCCCTACCTGTCTTTAAATGCAGTCTACTTTTTTTCGTGCAGCTCATGAGATAGGATTACGAACGGTACTTATCTAGACAAGCCTATCTCAAGTGTTCACGAAAGGAAAAACAGTGCATTTTCCTCAGATTGTCAAATAAGTATTATGCAGCAGACACAGAACAGGGTGGTTATGCAGCTGCAGGAGCCCTATAACACAGATTATGTGGAAAAATACAAAGTAGTGCTCTCACCGATGCAATTTGCCACCGTAGAAGGGTTTGGTGTGAAAGTTAATACTTGCAGAATACCCAGTTTTTGCACAGTTAATGTTGACTTTTCCTCCAAGTTCTACCCAAGGAACAGTTAAAATTGATCGTGCATATGCGCAAGGCAGAGAAAACGTGTATTCTTCCCCATGCTCCAAGAGACTTAGGAGACCTGTGTGAAGAAATAAGAAAGTCCCTAAATTAGCATAATTTTAGACATGATCAAACAAGTTATTGCAGTATGTACTCAGGGCTACTTCTGTCTGGTTTTCCTCATAGCCCCCTCAGAAAAAGAAAAAAGCTCACAGAAGTGACATTTATTACAGACTGCAGATACAAACATTCTGCTGAAAGAACTAACCTGAGTGACATGCATTTACATTCCTTTTGGGAAAAGACATTTATCCTAGCAATATCGCTCTATCATGCAGAATATCAGACTCTGCAGCATACTTATTTTAGACATACGTACAAATGCTTGCTGCTATCTCACCAAGGATTCTGGAGCACAGCAACACAACATTTATGCTGCCAAAAGGAAATAAGAAATGAATACCCTAAACTACAGA